CAGCCTTCTGGGTAGAGACAAGAGGAAAAAGAAGGTGGAGGAAGGTGAGAATCCTTGTTCATGCACAACATCCTGCAGCCAGGCATGTCGGCACGGGACTCTAGCCCCAGCAACAGGAAGGCTAAGGCGGGAAGATTACAGCAAGTTCAAAGCCGGCCAGAGCTATTTATTTATCGAGACCATCACCTGTGAAAACACACACACACACACACACACACACACACACACACACACACCTTTCTGGGAACTGAAGAACAGCGAATCTAATCTGTGGTACATAATGTCATTTCCCTTAAGTGTAACTCTTTATTTCTGTTTCCTGTCTGCCCCCTGCCTGAGCCTGATACTCCTGACTAACTTCCAAAAATCCATATAAACGCAGTCGGCTTAAGTCCCCATCCTCCCTCCCATCCATGTGGGACACAGACCCTCACCCAGCCTGACGTGACACTCTCCCAGAAGCAAGTGCCCCATTGGCCATCTTGTAACCCTCTTTCCCACCACTGTGGACACTTGGTCAGAGCAGCTTCTGTGCAATTGCAAGCACAGAGCATAGGAAACAGTGTGTAAGCAGGTCTAGCAGCTGCAGTGCCGAAGCCCTGTGACCAGGCACTTAGGAGGTAGATGAAGAGGTCAGGAGGCCTTCAAGGTCATCCCTGGCTACAAAACCAAAAGACCAAGGCAGAGCCAGATGATTCAGGGGATAGAGGCATTTGTCTCAGAGCCTGGAGACCTGAGGTCAATCCTGGGATACACATGGTGAAAAGGAGAGAAATGACTCCTGAAACATTTCCTCTTCCATGTGTGGTGGCATGGACTGGCACTATACACACACACACACACACACACACACACACACACACACACACACCATTTTTTTTTTCAAGACAGGGTTTCTCTGTGTAGCCTTGGCTATCCTGGACTTGCTTTGTCAACCAGGCTGTCCTCAAACTCACAGAGATCCTCCTGCCTCTGCCTCCCTGAGTGCTGGGGAGGCGTGTGCCACCTCAACCCTTTATTTTTTTCCCAAGATGAACTAAGGAAGGGTTGGGCAGAGTATGCCCTTAATCCCAGAACTCAGGGTGCAATCAGGCAGATCTCAGTAAAATTCCAGGCTAGCCTGGTCTACTAAATGAGTCCCGGGCCAGCTGGGGTTACATAGTAAGACCTTGTCTCAAAAGAGAGGAGAAGAGAAAGAAGAGAGTTGCTTTCGGTTAAATGCTCCTTTTTGATACCTACTCCCGGAATAGACATCAGAGTTAAAGCCAAAATGTCACATCATCTAAGGTTCTCTCCAAGAAACACATCGATTCTCTGCACGTGAATGCAGACTCCAGTTTAACTGGGTTATCAGTCTAGACTTGGCACAGGAAGTCACCTCAGGAATAGGAAACCTGAGGCACCCAGCCAGTGTGGGTGAAGTCTGTGGGGGTAAGAATCTATTTGGAACTGGCCAGCCCTGCCCGGCACGGGTGCTTGTTCCGTCAACCCTGTGCTAGACCCTTGTATGGAGACTCTTAAATTGAAAGCCCAAGAGCCAGGTGTGGAGATACAAACCTGTAATCCTAGCCCTGGGGAATTAGAAGCAAGAGGATCAGAAGTTCAAGGTCATCCTGAGTTGCATAGGGCATTTAGAGCCAGCCTGGGCTACAAGAGACCCTGTCTCAACAAACATGAATAAATAATACAAACAAATTGAGAGCCCTAACCTTTTCTCTTTTTTAAAGAGTTGTGTATTTTATTTTGAATGCTTGGCTTCCGTGCATGCATACCACCTTCACTCCTGGTACTCTCAGGGTTTAGAGGAGGACACTGGATCCCCCAGAACCGGAGTTTAGCAGAGGTTGTAAGCCACTGTGTGTTAGGAACTGAAACCGCATCTTTTTTAAGAGCAGCCAGCACTCTTAGCCACTGAGCCATGCTTCTGTCCTAATCTTAACGTGGAGCTCTAGGTGGCTTTGAATATCTGATAGAGCGATAGTGAACAGGACAGAAGCTGACCTTGTACCCAGGGGGCTTCTTGACAAACTCCACAGGGGTATAAGAAGCACCATGCAGGAAGGGAAAAGGGGCCATGGATGTCATGGAGCCAAAGATACAGGTGGCCATGCAACCTAGGTGATGGGAGCAGAACTCGAGTTTTCTGGAAAAGCAACAGAAGCTAACTGATGAGCCACTTTTCTAGTCCTCTTTAATTTTTTTTTTTGGGGGGGGTTGTTTTTTTCTAGACAGGGTTTCTCTGTGTAGCCTTGGCTGTCCTGGACTTGGGTTATAGACCAGGCTGGCCTCGAACTCGGCAAAGATCTACCTGCCTCTGCCTCCCAGAGTGCTAGGATTACAGGAGTGAGCCACCAAGCTCAGCTGTCTTTAATCTTCTTTTACATTTATTTATTTACTTACTCACTTACTTCTTTTTACACTTATTTATCCATTTAGTGTGTGCATGTCTGTGTGCAGGTCAAAGGACAACATGCAGGGTTCTCCTCTCTATCACCTTCATAGCCATAGTGAAGGATGGTAAGCTTACTTCAGCTCTGTTCTGAATAAACAAAAATAAACTCCTCTTAAAAAATAAACTCCCTGCGCAAGGATGACACGCAAATTCATGAAGCGTTCCATATTTAAAATAAATAAATAAATAAATAAATAAATAGATAAATAAATAAATAAATAAGCTCATCTGACTGCAACAAAGCCATGCAGCCCCACATCTCTGAGAATTGGATTTAAAAGGGAAAAAAATTAAGATAGGGTTTCACATAGCGCAGGCTGGCTTCAAACTCACTGTGTAGCCAAGGATGACCTTAAACTCCTGATCCTCTCACCTCCACCTCCTCCTGAGTGCCAGGACTGTAGGCTTGTGCCACCACGATTGTCCAAGCACCCTGCCAACTGAGCTCCATCCCAGGCCCTGAGTATGAAGTCGCAATGGAAAACTCCATATCCTCCCGGACTAAAAGCAACAGTGTGACTAAGATCTTAACTGTCCTCACGGGGTTCATGTGTAAAAGCTTGGTCCTAGCTGCTGGCAGAGTTTGGGAGGGAACGTAGGTCACGGGGAGGGGGCACGTGCTTGCCGGGGAAGGTGGGATGGTAACCCCTTCCTCTCTGCCAGGCAGCCCTGTGAGCTGTGCACTGCCTGCTGTGTTTCATCACAGACCTCAAAGTGGTGGCGCCTCTGGCCGAGGCCTCAGACCACGAGCCAGAGGAGGCCTTTCCTGCCTGTAAGTTGCCCCTCTCAGGTTCTCTTCAGTGAAGGGATCTCGCAGAGGACCCACGGCTTCCAACACCTGTAACTCCAGCTCCAGGGCATCAGACTCCTCCTCTGTCTTCTCGTAAACATGAAGTAAAAATAAACAAATATTTTAAGAACTATAAACGCACAACCCTATGAAGAGAATAGGAGTAAATTTAATTTTTATGTGTAACAAAATAAACACACACACTCTTAAATATAAAGGATGCCTGTGGGTTGGGGAACCACAAGACTATCTATAATTACAGGGACCTGTCCTGGAGAAAGAGGTTCTACAAAGAACCCTAAAACCTCAATTTAAGCATTCTCCTTCCCCACACCCTGGAACCGTGGCTGGCAGCAGATTCAGTAAAATGCCTGTTGCAAATGTAACGCTGGTAACATTCATATTTATGCATGCTCACTCCCTGGCTTTGATGTGTCCACCCCTTTCTGGACATCAGCTGTGGCTAGCCAGGAAGGCATTGAGTTAACCCAGAAAAGGCAGTACAGTCCACCCCCAGCCCCGAAAATCCACCAGAGGCCAGGTATGGTTCACAGTGCTAAGACTAGCATCTATGGGAGAAGCCCCCCACTTCTTATGCCAGGCAGCTCGAAGCTTAGGCAGCAAGGCAGAATCAACAGGAGGCCTGTAGCAGGAGTGGGCAGGACTCAGGTAATGAATGGCCAGCTGACCTCTCCATCCTGAGTGAGCAAGGGTTGCCTCTATTTGACATGTAAATATTGGGTCTCAATCACTGGCCCACTCCAGGTTTCATAATACCCAAGCGTATCCCAATTATGCAAGAGCTCTTTTGAAATTCTCCAAATCAGTTTTTTAAAAAAAAGATTCATTGTTTATGTATATGACTTCTCTATTTGCATGTATGCCTGCATGACAGAAGGCGGCATCAGAAAGCTGGAAGTTGTGCACGCCTGTAATCCGACACTCAGAGAGGCAGAGGCAGGCAGATCTCTGTGATCTCGAGGTTAGCCTAGTATACAAGGTGAGTCCAGGGCAGTCAAGGCTACACAGAAAAACCCTGTCTCGACTGTCTCTGACATGAACTCAGTAGCTGGCTCTTTGACCTCCCCCACCCCACGAGGGAAGAGCTAGCTCCTCTTGCTAGCCCACAGAGGAGCTAGTTCTGATGAGACCTCATAAACTAGGGTCAGATGGAAGTGGAGGTGAACCTCCCCTATCTGTGGACTTAGAGAGGGGTGGGATGGAGATGAGGGAGGAAGGGAGGGGTTGGGAAAGAATAAGGGAAGGGGCTACAGCTGAGATACAAAGTAAATAAATTGTAATTAATATAAAAAATAAAAAGTTAATTAAAAAACATTTTATAATTTAAAAAAAAAAGAAAAACCCTGTCTCAAAAGAGGAGGAGAGAATCCAATCCTATTATAGATGGTTGTGAGCCACCACATGGGTGCTGGGAATTGAACTCAGAACCTCCAGAAAAGCAGCTGCTGCTCCTAACCTCTAAGCCATCTCTCTAGCCCTCAAAATCAGCTTTTCGTTTTCAAAAAACCTCTAGTATATCCAGATGGCCTGTCATATTGTCAAGCAAATGGCAAGAGGTCACCACTGCCCTGAATGTATTAAGCAAACCCATGATCCCTTTCATCCCAGGAAGGCCAGATACCCTGGAAATGACTCATATTTGGTAAAACACTTCAGCAAAAATACATCCCAAAGGTTAAGAAACCAACAATGGTCCATAGCCAAACAAGTGGGAAAGAATAAAACAAAATGCCAGTTTTCTTTCTTTCTTGAAGGCTGAATTACAAAATTAGAGAGAGGAAAGACACACAGTGAGGGAGACAGGAGTACAATTTTAGTTATTCATTTGCCTCCAATACAGTACAATGTCCACCAAAATTTGTTCTCAGCCTGAGCCAGGCATGGCACCACCCATCTGTACTGGTAGTACTTGGGAGGCAGAGGCAGGTGTACTACCATGATATCAGCGTCAGTCAGCCTGGTCTACACAGAAAGCTCCAGGCCAGCTTGTACTACAGTATGAGACACTCTAGAGTTCTCTAACCAAGGACCATGAGGGGACTAAGAGGTGAAGAAAGCTAGGAGAGCCTAAGGGGGGAAGCTGAGGCCACATGGGAGGCAGGGCTGAAGGCGCTGGGGTGTGTCAGGGCAGCTTTGGCCAGGTCTGTAGTCATGGGCACATCCTTCAGGTGGCCGGAGTGAAGGCTTTGTTTAGTGTCAGGCTGGATCTGTGAAGTGAAGCCACCAACCAGGCCTCCGGAGCACCAGGCCATCAAAAGATAAGCTGCATCTCTCCTTTAGCCTGAGCCTGAGCCTTGCCCAGAGACACACAGCTGGCTGGTGACAGGTTTCCAACTGCAGATGCCAATCTAGGAGCCTTTCCCACCACAGTCCTTCTGCAGCAAGGTGGCAGAGTCACGCCGTGGGTGGGCAGGACACTGGCAGAGAAGGACACTGCAGTGAAGTCCGTGGTGTCGCTGGAAGGGTCAGTGAGGCCGTGGCTTCTTAAGGGCACAGAAGGGGAACAAACAATAGCAAGTTTATACTCCTAAGGAAACACAATCTGTGATTATAAATATTTCATGGGCAAAGAAAGTACTAGCTGTGGGCATGGAGGGCGGGGAGGAGCCAACACATTAGATCTCCATTGCAAAGTGATAGGACAGCTGGAAGGGCAGCAAGGCTGGGGCTATTCTGGGCAGCACGCTACGGGGGCCTGCGTCACAGGCACTGGCCACTTGGCTGTGCTGAAACCACAGGCTTCCAGTGGTCAGCACAGAACACCTTGGGAGGAGCGCTTAAGTCTGTAATAGACCAGAGGGGACACTCAGTCACTCAGAGGACACTGCTGAGTTTCAACAGCCAGGAGGCAGGTGAGGGGGCACAGCAGAGCAGCCAGCACCCCAAAACACATGACAGGGCAGAGGGAGGGGAGGGCCCAACCCCAGCTACAGAACAGCCAGAGAAGCTTCGAGGTAGCACAGGTCAAGCTGTCCCATCAAGAACAAAGGTCCAGGTGAAAGCAGGTTGTGTCAGGCTGAGGACAATCGCTGCTTTTCCTTTGCCCTAAGACAGAGGCTTCATCTACCCCGCCCCCACCCCGGCCAGTCCACCTTCCAGAAGCTGCAGAGACAGCAGGGAATTAAGAGCCCACTAAATCCCAGCTGCCAGGCTGCAAACACACTGACAAAAGAGCAAGGTGGTGGTGAGCGCTCAGCCAAAGCTGGACCACCCCTACAGCCCACTATGGCAGCCACACTGCACCAGTCCTCATAGGAGGCCAGATTAGGAGGAACGGGCATGCTCCCAAAATACCCACGATTCCTTGAGGCAGATTTAGCCTGAGGAGACCTAGGAGTCACACACACTTGGGCTGGAGAGGCAGCTGTTTCTGCCTCCTTGTATTCCGGCCACCCTCACTCCAAGGTCTGCAGGAGGATCAAAATGGCAGCCTGTAGGATCACAGCTGATGGAAGCCAGAATACACACCTCAACGGAGAGGGGGAATCTAGGGGGTAGACTATGGGTAGAAAGTCAGAAATCTGGCCCGAGACCCAGGTTTCCCGCTTGGCCTCTGAAACTGTCCTCACCTGCAGTGTGGCCAGTACTTGCGAACCCAAGGACTGTGAGAAGCACTAGGAACATGCACGTATCTGGATGTCTCCACAGCACACTGCTGCTATGACCTAAGACGATACCCAGCTGTTTGGCATCTCACAGGCACAGCCACTTCCCCACCTGCCACGTCTCTCAGATCCTCAGGCTTCTCCGATGGGGGCCCAGCTCAGTGTTCACGGGTGGATTCCAGAAAATGCAAACTCTCTGTCCTTCTCCACCGTATCAGCCCACTGCCAACCCTACCTCTTCAAGCACCTGAGCACAACCCAGTCCAGGGTGGCATCTTGCAGGGTTACTGCTGTCTTCAAACCCTCCTCCCCAAGGAAAAGCCAACCTACTCCCCTCTTTATTAAATACCCATCACATGAATCTTAATGCCTTTGGATAAGATAAGCCTCCTTCCCCGGACCTTGCGGCCCCAAGTAAACAAATGGAAGTCCAGTCCTGCCCTGATTTTATATAGCCAGGTCTTTATCAAGTGGCCCCAAAAGCTTACTTGTTAAAGGCCCTGGTACTTACCCAGGGCCTGTGCACATTCCTTCTCTCTAGCAAATTTCCACTCCTCACAAAGGACATGAGTGTACAGCTCATTAATTATTCACAGATATAAATACTTATGCAACTGCTAAGTCTAACACACTCCCAGGGCCCGGAAGTCGTCCTCTTGCCCCTTCCCAGTTCACACCACACCCAGCCCCTTAAGGAAGTAACCCGTATTTGGGCTTCTGTCACAGTGTCTGTTTAGACTGCAGCTGAGGCAACCCTTTCTCCGGGACAGCTCTGACCTTACTGACGGGCTGACCCTTCGTGGTAAGCCCTTGTTGCATCTGGGCATTGCATTTGTTGGAGGAATTACTGGGCTCCTGTGAACTCCCTTGACTCTAAGTGCCAGGAGGACGACAGAGCGAGCAGGTGAGAGCGAGGGAGCCACACCTTTCACTTACCTTTGCTCTCCCGGAGCTTGAACATGCAATTGCAATACAAGAAACAGCCAATGTGGAGCCCTTCCTGCTGCCAGGAATAGCTTTGGGTATTCATAAGCTCTTTTGATCTTTGTCTCAATGGCCCCACCATCATACACCATATGGGGACACTGAGGCTCAGAAAAATAAGCCAACTTGCCCAACATCAGGAGGTGGTAGCAGGTGGAGCTGCGACTTGGACCCAGGCAGCCTGAACCCAGAGCCTGTGCCCACCACCCTCAGCAGCCTCTTGGAGGCTGAGAAGATACTAAAATAAGTGGCTATATCGTTTTTTTTTTTTAACCTTTATTTTATGTGCATTGGTGTTTTGCCTGCAGGTTATGTCTATCTTGGAGTTACAGACAGTTGTGAGCAGCTGTGTGGGTGCTGGGAGTTGAACCTGGTCCTCTGGGAGAACAGTAAGTGTCTGTAACCACTGAGCCATCTCGCAGCCCAGCTGTAGTATCTTTTAATTAGTTTTTAATTTTTATGTGTAGGAATGTTCTCCCAGCATGTGTACCTGCGCACCGCATGCATGCGGACTCCACAGAGGCCAGAAGCAGAGAAGATAAAGTTGTTGAGTCACTGCACAGGCCCAGGGTTGTCAGCTGTGTAAGAGAAAGCTCAGGCCGCTCCTGCAGTCTAGGGAGGAGGCCAGAGTTCAACTGCTTTAGCTGCCCACCTCATGACCACAGCTCAGACAGCACAGGAAGAAAACACATTAAGACATTTATTCTGTTCCAAAACATTGTCACTGTGTGAAAGGAACAGCTGCTCGCTCAGAGCCGCTCTGCTCACACAAAGTTCTGAGCAATGGCCAGTACCTTGGAATACTCTCCTTCTTTCTTGCGAAGGCTGCTTGGGATGGGAATTTTAATTCGAGTCCCCACAGGGTTCCCGTTGTCCTCAATGAGGACCACATTGTTGGAGTCAAACTTGGGGGTCATTGTGGGGCCAGGCATACGATGCCCCACAATGAGTGCTTTCTTCTTCTGGCCCCTGATGGCCAGCAGGATCTGGTCGCCCACCTTGCCCACCCCATTTTTGTTATAGACGTGGATGCACCGAGGAGGCCGATGGTACGGGGTGGTCCCCAGGGCGCTATTGTCCACCACGCGCACCCGAGTCATCTTCTGGATCGCACCAAGGTTCCCAGAGGTACTGGAGGGAGAGGAAAAAAAAAGTCTGTGACATGGCTCTCTATGGACCCCCGGGCACAGATATAAAGAGGACAGGAAGGTGCACATCAGCCACATGCATATACATACATGCAGACACTGAACAGAGTATGACCTGGAAGCCAAAACAAGAAACCAGGGGTTGCCCAGCTTTAACTACCCACTTCCTGATAATGGAGAGCTTCTAAGACGGTTTGCTGGCAAATACCTGTGATCCTAGCACTTGACAGCCTAGGCAGGAAGCTCACAGACCAGCATGTGGTACTCAGTGAGACCCTCTCATAAAACCAAGAGCTTCTACCCGGTGTCAAGACTCCAATTTTTCTGTGACAGCAAACTCCATGGATCTCCAGCCTTTGGATTCTGAAAGTCGAGGAGGGCTGAAGGCATTTCCACAGAGCCTCACCCCTGCCAACCCTGCAGAACCTGCTTCCCCAGGTCCTGCGTCACTGTTCTCATAGTCTGGGAAGCTGCAGACGCTGAGGAAGCCCTGACACAACACAGCAGAAACTGGAAACTGTCAGGGTAACAACTCCGACACTAGCAAAGGGGTTTCGTTTTGTTTTTTGAGATGGATCTTCAACGTTGCCCAAACTCCTGCGACCAAGCCATCCCCCTGCCTCAGCCTCCAAACGGGGTGGGGAGAAGGGGAGGAGATGGGCCTACAGCTTGCAGCACCACTACCCCCGAAACATTCCTTTTCAGAAACAGAACAGTTTTATGAGTGGATCCAGTCTTGCCACCATGGATTTCCCTCTCCCCTAAGTCAGGTGTCACCGCTAAGTGTGCCGTTCTCTAGCACAATCCCAGGGCCTCCCAACTAGCAATTCTACCTCTAGGCCACACCTCTCCTTTGTTTAGCCGCAGAGCGCCCTCCAATGTGTACTCCACACTGCAAGCTCGGGGAGGGCCCGACTGACCTGTCCCGCTTTGCAACCCACTCCCTTCTTCTTCTGCTGCTGCAAAGGGCTTCTCCAAAAACTCCCTAGGGGCCTGGACAGGCCGCACCCACTTTCCTTCTGGGCACCCTCATCTTCCCTTAACAGCTCTCCTGAGACCCAAGAAGCACTCACGAAACCTCTCTCTGCTATACTATAAACTCATCACATTCTTTTCAAAAACACGTTTCCAAAAGTATTTTTATTTAGTGTGTGTGTCCGCCATGTGGATCCTGGGGATGGAACTCACCCTGGTCACCAGACTTGGTGGCCACCATCACTGCTGAGCCACTTTCCCCACGCTCATCACGCCTTAGGGTTAGCTGCCTCACAGTTCATTTCTGAGGCCTACCCTGAGAGCTGCTGCACTAGAGGCCGTCCTCCTTCACCTCTGCGGGATGCAGTGAGGAACTGGGAAGTGGTGTCTCAGAGGGGAGGGCACTGTGGCTGGCGTGGGGCCATCCTGGCTTGGTAAGAAAGCGTGTACTGACAAGAACTGTGCAATTTTGTAATTAAAGGTCAATTTTGCTGGGCTGGGTGGTACAAGAATACAATCCTTGCCACACGGGAGACTGAGGCAGGAAGATGGCAAGTGCAAAGTCCTGTGGGCTCCAGAGTGAGCGCAAGGTCGGCTTGGGCAACTCTGCAACCCTAGTGTTCAGGAAGCCAATGGGGAAAGTTGGCCAGCCTGGTCTACAGGGAAATGTCCAGGCCTGCTACAGCTACACAGTGAAGCTTTATTGTACAAGGCAAACAAAAACAACAAGAACAAAAAGTAAAATGTCAAAGGAGGTTGGAAAAACAAAATTCAGCGGGTGGCTCAGCACATGAAGGTGCTCGCCACCAAACACAACAACCTGAGTTTGATCCAAGACCCACGCTGTGGAGAGGACGTTTATGCCCGTCGCCCTCTGACTTCCATGTGCACCCTGACACGTGCGTGCGCACACACACACCTGAAATCTTTTGAAATGTCAGGGGTTTTAAAGCCCTCTTGACAGGCTCAAGAGCTGGCACTCTAAGGAACTGGAACTGGCAGGGACTGAAAATGAAGAGCTTCCATCACAGGCCACCCTCTGCTCACATCTGTCCTCTCCCGCCCCGTGCTGACTAAATCCCAGCTCAGGCTGACCCCAGGACAGCTCTGTGAAGTTTCTTCTCCCATTCCAGTCACCACAGGATCCAGCCAGAGCGGCAGGCTTATCCAGGGAAACTTCTCTAAGAACAAGATGTTAAGCATTACCTGAAGTAGCGCTGGCTGAATGCTCTGCTGACATGGGCCAAGGGGCCCAAGAGGCCAGTAAGGACAGCCATGGAGGATCCCAAGACAGCAAACCTGCAGGAAAGGGGGACAGAGTCTGTTTTCTCTGGGGACTTGTGTGGGCGAGGACACTGTAGCACAAGTTCATTAGTCACTAAATAAGAATCTTAGCGTTTGTAAGATCCACGGATGATTAGACAAGACTCTAGCTCCCAGTTCTGCTGAGTCACATTCCCACTCTGGTCAGCTGGGAACAGACCAGCCGTTACAGACCAGCGGTGACAATGCCGACCGCCCTCAGCTCCCCAAGGCAGTCCTCTGGCATACCCCAGTTAGCCGCAACTTCCCAAGACGGCTACAAAACCGAATGCCATTTCCATTCTTGACACCCATGTGCCTTCTGAAACCCAGTTCAGGACCCTGGAAGAAAGCAAATTAGCCAGCGCTGGTGGTTCATCCCTGCAAGCCCAGCCCATGGAGCCCAGCCTAGGCTGGAGGATGAAAAGCTCCAGACCTGTGAGCTACGTGGTGAGCTCCAGGCCAACGCAGGCTACGTGAGACCCTGTCTCAAAGAAGTTATTAAAGACAAAACAAAATGTGCGACTGGAGAGATGGCTCAGTGGTTAAGGGCACTGGCTCTTCTTGCAGAGGACCTGGGTTCAGTTCCCACCACCCACATGATGGTTCACAATTATCTATAACTCCAGTTCCAGGGATCAGACATCCCTCCTGGCCTCCTTGGGCATCAGGCACACATGTAGTGCTCCTACATATATGTAGGTAAACACTAGTATGCATGAAACAAAAATAAAAACATTTTTCAAAAGGTTGAGAATATAGCTCAGTGGTAGGGTGCTCACACATCCTGGGTTCAGTCCTTAGTGCTCAAGTGGGGTGAAAAAGGTGATGATCTGAGCAGCTTCCTAAGTCGCCTGTCATACATCACCCTTGCCCCAAATGTGAATGCCAGGACACCTGGAGAGCCCAAGGTCAGCAAAGTAGGGCCAAAGCCACCCTTGCCAAGGCACTGACCAAAGTCTATATTTGGGTGAGTCTCCCCCACAGCACAGTGGCATGGAAAAACTTCCGCAGACAGGACACAGAGCTACAGTGCCTAGGAGGCAGGAGTCCAGTTCACAGAGCTTGGCTCTGCTGCCCCTAGAACACACCAACACAGAAGTGGAAAGGTCCTGCAGGCCAGAGCATCGCTGTAGCACGATGAAGAAAAGCATGCCACCAACCAGGCGGGGATCCCAGCTGTAAGCAGGCCAGCTCTTCCACCCAGACGCCCCAGAGGGCACCGCTGGAGAACCCTGCAGAGCCGTGCCTGTGCACTGGAGTATTTACACACAGCTTTGTTTAGTGAGGCTTCAAAGCGCCGCAGATAAGACTATTTAATAAAGGCGGGGGGAGGGCTCACCACTCACTTCCACAGGAATACCGGGGCATTCCATAAATGCCTGTCACTTGGTGCCTAGCCTCAAATCCCAGCACCTCAGTGTTCTCCCTGGGACACCGGTGAAGTGTTGGCCCACTCTCCAATCAGAAAACAAGTTGAAACAGACGGCAGCTAACCCAGGACCGATGGACACACAGAGACCAACAGCCGAGCCCATACTAACTTGAAGATCCTGGGCTGCTGAGCCCAGACACTGCGCAGCGCAGCACAGCACAGGCTGGGCGCCCGTGCCTACCAGCTCATTTCCTCTTCCCACCTCATTTCATGGATGAGGACACTGAGGTACGGGCGCTTTCAGTGGTCCACACGGAGCCCTACAACCAGCCTCGGCCTCAGGACGTTCCCTCTGCGCCCCTCAGGCTTTGAGTTGTCAGGCCACTGTTTTCTTGAACATTTGCTGTGGCAGTTAGGACACAGCACACACTAGGCTAAACATTGTGTGCTGTCATCTCATTGAACTCAGTAACACTACTGTGCGGTGCATACTATTGTTGACCTCCTTGTTACACACACACACACACACACACACACACACACACACACACACACACGCAGCCAGGGATTTTAAGTAAGTTGACCATTGTGACAAAGCAAGGAGTAATGGGCTGAAATCTGAACCACAGTTGTCGGCTTCCTGAGCCCATACACACTTACTCAACCAGGAGTAAACATGGCAACCTTAAATACTGGTATTTCGCCAACTGTTAACAAACTCTAGTTGCAGAGCTAGGCGTGATGGCACATGCCTTTAGCCCCAGCACTCGGGAGGCAGACGCAGGTGGATCTCTGTAAGTTTGAAGCCAGCCTGGTCTACAAAGCAAGTTCTAGGACTGCCAGAATATAGATAAACCTACATCTCAAAAAACTGAAAAACAGAGACCTGTTTTCCAGTCTAGGGTCAGATAGTATTGGTGGACAAGGGGAGGGGCTCAGCGGGAGAAAAGGGAGGGAGGGTGGGGCTGGGAGGAGATGAGAGAGGGGACTGCAGCTGGGATACAAAGTGAATAAATTGTAATAAGTAAATATATAAATAAAATTAAATTTAAAAATAAAAAGTATGTAAATAAAAACAAAAATCATTAAAAAACAAACAAACAAAAAAACAAGACAAAACAAAGCAACCCCCCCAACCACTGACATTATATGTCCACTTTACTCATAGGGCCCTCACTGCCTGCTCAACAACTTGAAAAACCAGGTGAGGAGGATTTGTGCTGTAGCTTTAGGATGGCACCTGAGCGCCATCCCAGCCCCCATCTAAGTTCTGAAGACAATCTGTGGTGTCAGCAGCAAGAAAGGCTCGCGCTCTGTGCATAACTAAAAATGGGCACAGAACCACCACAGCTCTGATGGGCAGCCAGCCTGTGCCCTCAAACCCCGGACAAGCTGTGCCATTTGATGCCAGCAGGCCCTCAGGCTCACTCCCAGAGAAAAGGGACTCCCTGGATATTCAAAATGAATCGAATGCAGCCCACGCTGCCCATCCTGAGGTCACAGGGACCTCAGCTACTTACCACCCCAAATCCAGACACTTAGGACATCTCAAATGGCTACAGGGGCTGGGGAGGCAGGGACTTTGTGCCCTACCCTCAAGCATGGGGGCCATGCCTCCAGGGAAGACTTCAGCTTTTTTTTTTTTTTTCCCTCCTTTGAGATAGGGTGTCTCTGTGCAGCCTTGGCTGGCCTCGAATTCACAGAGACTGGCGCGCTTCTGCCTCCCAAGTGCTGGATTAAAGGTGTGCTCCTCCACTGCTCAGCTTCAACTTTCGTAAGAAAAGGTCCACAGTTACTTTCACTGTTTCTAATGTATCCGCTACAGTGACCTCTGACCTCAACCCCAGCTGACTTAGCAGTGTAAAGACAACAGTATGCACTGCTGTGGCCCTAAGGCACAGTCGCAGACACTCACTCCCTGGCCTTATTCCTCAAAAGACAGCTGTTACTCCCAGACTGGGTAAAGATCTCAGGTCCAGAAAAACAGCAGAAATGCAATAAATAAATTAGGTGCTGTGCTCCCCCACTCTAGAGCCCCCGGCCACCAAGATGATGCTAGTTTTTGGGGAAGCATCTCCCAGTCTACAGTGGACACTGCCCACATCCCTAAATAACAACTGCTTCAGGTGGGGGTGAGGACAGCAAAAGACTTCAAGGAAACTCTTAAAAGGCCTTTGTGATATCTGCTGGCATGAGTCCATCCTGGCACATGGAATGCCGTGACTCTCTGGAAGCCTTGCGTTTGCCCAGGGTACTTCTATGACACTCGCTTAGATGGAGCCAGGTTATTTGGAAGATTCCATGGCCAAAGGTGGCCTTTCATGTGACTTCCTGGTCAACTCTGCATGTATCCTCCCATTTCGGTGCCAATGACAACCTATCCTTCAAAGGGTAGGGTAGAGATGACTTACCACACCTGAGAGGCATGACCTTCCCACCTCGGTCGAAAGCTCCATTGCTGCAGAGGCACGGAGAGCACGGATTTCAGAGCTGCACCGCAGGTGGTGTGCACTGGGCTCGTCCGTGCACACTGAGCTGAAACCATGCTGTGAGGGCAGGGCCCAGCACCAGCCTGCTTAGTGACTGCTGGAGGGTGCAGCAGCTACTAACGCATGGCTACAGCTAAGGGGCTGCCAAGAGGAGCCCAGAGTTTCCATGTTCGCTGTGTTCGTTTTGACTTCTCTCTCTCTCTCTTTTTGCTTTTTTGAGACAGGGTTTCTCTGGGTAGCCTTGGCTGTCCCGGAACTCGGCCTCGAACTCAGAGATCCATGTGCCTCTACCTCCTGAGTGATAGGATCAAAGGCTTGTGCCGCTACCTCCCAGCTTGACTCTTTTTTTCATGTACCCAGGCTTCTGATATTGTAAAGGAGTAGTTATCAACCCATGGGTTGTTACCCCTCTGGGATTTCTCATAGGCATCACCTAAGACCATTAGAAAGCACACATACTTACATTACGATTCAAAACAGCAGAAAAATTAGTTATGAAGTAGCAACAAAAATAATGTTATGGTTTGGGAGCACCACAACACGGGTCACAGCATTAAGAAGGTTGAGAACCACGGTTTAGAGGGTTCATTTTTAGTTTGTTTTCTTTGGGGGCGGGTTGGATTTTTAGCTACTTCTCATACTCAAGGCTAGACGAGCAATCAAGGAGGCACCCAACTTGCTATGCTTTGGGGGAGTGGGAGGGAAGAACCGTTATTTGAGAATATTTATTTATTATTATGTGTGTCATGGAACGCATGTAGATGGTAACTGTGGAGTTGGGTTCTGGGGAACTGATTTAGGTCCTCAGCCTTGTGCACAAGCGAGCTACTGCCTCACTGAGCCATCTTTGAGGTATTACTTGGGGTTTGAACTTCAGTTACAAAGTAACCAGCAGAGGAGCTCTCTATACAATTACGAAGTGCATGGGGGCATCACAGACCTACACATTGTTTCCAAGCCAGGCCAGCTGGCACATACCTTCACTTCCAGCACTCTGGAGGCAGCAGGAAGCAGAGTCACCTTTAGTTCAAAACCAGCCTGGCTTCCAAGCCAGCTTCACCTTCAGAATGAGACCCTGACTCCAACAACAAATAAATCAAATGTTGGAAAAAGCAAAGGTCTGGGCCACTCTGAAGAATTACAAGACTTCCACAACCCTCCCTCCCATACAGACCTTTCCCATTATTTGATCAATAAACACTTGCATTTGTTGCTTAAACACTCCTGTTTCCCTACTCGCCCATTCTCTTTAAGGAGTTTATTTTGTGCATAGAGTTTAATCTCTCACAAGTCTAATGTGTTGCAATTCTCAAAGTACCCTCACCAGAGCACTTTCCTTGATGGTTTCATTCCTAGGCATCCGATGGAAACAGAAAAACAAGTAGGAACTGGCAACTGCCTGGAAGAGGTTGGACCAGCTGAGGACTGAGGACTTGCCATCACTTTGCTGGCAGATGCACAAAATCAGAGATGGT